AATAATATGTTGATTAGTTCTTTAGAACACAGCTCCCAGAAAAGAAAATACAAAAAGGAGTGATACAGTAGAACCTCTCTTTAGCGGACACCACGCTAGCGGACACCACGCATAAGGTTGTCGTTGTGTAAGATCCTGTTGACTCTCTCTCGGATCGTGTGGGATCCTGTCGACTCTCTGTAATATAAGGTTGTCGTTGTGTAAGATCCTGTTGACTCTCTCTCGGATCGTGTGGGATCCTGTCGACTCTCTGTAATATAAGGTTGTCGTTGTGTAAGATCCTGTTGACTCTCTCTCGGATCGTGTGGGATCCTGTCGACTCTCTGTAATATAAGGTTGTCGTTGTGTAAGATCCTGTTGACTCTCTCTCGGATCGTGTGGGATCCTGTCGACTCTCTGTAATATAAGGTTGTCGTTGTGTAAGATCCTGTTGACTCTCTCTCGGATCGTGTGGGATCCTGTCGACTCTCTGTAATATAAGGTTGTCGTTGTGTAAGATCCTGTTGACTCTCTCTCGGATCGTGTGGGATCCTGTCGACTCTCTGTAATATAAGGTTGTCGTTGTGTAAGATCCTGTTGACTCTCTCTCGGATCGTGTGGGATCCTGTCGACTCTTTGTAATATAAGGTTGTCGTTGTGTAAGATCCTGTTGACTCTCTCTCGGATCGTGTGGGATCCTGTCGATTCTCTGTAATATAAGGTTGTCGTTGTGTAAGATCCTGTTGACTCTCTCTCGGATCGTGTGGGATCCTGTCGACTCTCTGTAATATAAGGTTGTCGTTGTGTAAGATCCTGTTGACTCTCTCTCGGATCGTGTGGGATCCTGTCGACTCTCTGTAATATAAGGTTGTCGTTGTGTAAGATCCTGTTGACTCTCTCTCGGATCGTGTGGGATCCTGTCGACTCTTTGTAATATAAGGTTGTCGTTGTGTAAGATCCTGTTGACTCTCTCTCGGATCGTGTGGGATCCTGTCGATTCTCTGTAATATAAGGTTGTCGTTGTGTAAGATCCTGTTGACTCTCTCTCGGATCGTGTGGGATCCTGTCGACTCTCTGTAATATAAAGTTGTCGTTGTGTAAGATCCTGTCGACTCTCTGTAATAACCCATTTGAATCCTATGTCAGATTATGTTGAATTGGTGATTGATGGCGCAGTCTTGGTCGAATGGTGGTTTTCCACAGGGGAAGAATGAGCACACCTGGATGGGATAGAAAATAGACCTTACGAAAGGGAGAGTGATGAGACTGGAGAAGGTACTTGGCCTTTCACATGATGGAGCGGACACTACCTTGGTTGGAGCCTAAGTTGAGCACACCTTGCTTCTAGCACAGTCACCTACCTTCTTTTTAACTTCTTGTCCGAGATCATCGTCATTAACTCTCTCGACTTCTCATTGGTGGAGAACCCTCCACGTGCTCTCCGATGATTCGCTATCATTTGGTCATGCTTAAAGGTGATTGGTTGTTGATTGGCCTGCTTAACTTTGATTGACTTAGTACCTCCATTGTTGCCATGATTGCAATCTTCCAGGAAGAAGAAGGTCTTTGAACTTAAGTTTTATGGGGTCCTGGGCAGTGACCTTTACTTCCTGGATGATGCAATCCTGTTAATTGTTATTCCCTTTTCGCGAAGCCTAACTTTTATTAAATCTTTTGACGATACATTGCATAGATGTAGTGGGGTTACATATTGCTATATACAGATTATCACATATATTAATTTTTTTCTATTTGAATTGTCTTCTTCTTCTTTCTTATCTCCACTCAATCACACTAAGGTATCAAGCTTGTAAAGCTTGAGATTTGACAACCATCATGATTGGGTAAAGTAAAATGCATCTGCCTTTGTCATTAAGACTGGGAGCACTACTCAGTGGCAGGCCGACTTAGCTCCAAAAGAAATGGCCGCCTCTGACATGAGGAACAGACGCCATGTGCAGCCGCTCCTAACATGGAGTACAAACGCTGCTCATCCTGTATCCCTGGATCAGGAAATTTGAATTGTTGATTTATGCAATATATGAGAAATTTTATTTTCTGAAAGCTTGTATCTGCCAGCTAGATGCTAAGCATCTTAAAGAAATAGCATGAAGCAAACAATACTGATATTTTCCCCTATTTATATATGTGTGTAGATAATAAACATAGTGCACTCTATACATTGAGGTTGAGGAATTTTTCAACGCTATTTCTTTTTAATAAAATAGAACTCTACAATCAGTGAACTGAAGATGATTCAGGAAGGCTTGGTTCAATTGTGTTGAATACTTCCCCACAGACAATTTGATTTACCAGCTCACTTCGACTATTGTATGGTTCATTTTGCTTGTATATTCTGCATTGGAAAGTTTATTTTTGATGATGAGGTATTTTATTAAAAGAGAGGTTTCTGTAATATATTATCACAAATAATTTTGCTTTTCGTGCACAGCTCTCTTCAATCCATATCTTCTTAATTTTACTAATTATAGTAACTTGTGCTATATATCTACACTCATGGACAAAACTTAAGGAGGTGTTGTACCTTTTAACATGTATAACAGGATTCAGACAATAACTTTGATATTTGATACTTTTTTTTTTGCTTATCCCTAGTACACGTGGTACAGGTCATGATAATCATGGTGGGTAGGAGTTAGCGACTGCTTTTACTGTAAGTGTACCACATATCTTCACATGTGAAAAGCAGTTCGACTTTGCACTTACAAATGTGCCAGAGCTCCATTTGGTTACTTGCACTCGCTGGTGGGTTTTTTATTTGATACATGGTGACCTTTATTAAAGACACATGAGATACCATATGTGAACAAAATTTCATCTGTCTCTTTCAAAAAATAGACAAACGATGACATCAAAGAATTTTCCCTTCTTAAGTTTTGTCCATAAGTGTATATCTAAATGTAAAAAGAACTAGCTCACTGTCTTGTATTGAGTGAAGAGGTGTGTCAGGGAGGAGCTAGGCCTGGGCTGGAGCAACAACTGGTGGTTGGACCTCAACTACCTCCATGTCAGCCAGGCAGCCCAGTTCTGCTCTGCTCACTTCACAGCCCTGCTCTACGCTGAGCTGTGGTGCTACGCCCGTCTCCAGTAACTACTGCATTTTGTCACACTTTGTGCACTCACTCTCATTATTGAATTAGCAGATAGGCTTGATAAACTCTATATAATACTCACAAGGTAATAAGACCAAATCCAAATAAATAAATAGTATGTGACGTTTTGGTAACAGCGTTGTTGCCATCTTCAGATAAAACAATGCTGTTACCGAAACGTCACACACTATTTATTGATTTGGATTTGGTCTTATTACCTTGTGTTTATAATCTATAATCCAAATTGTGCATTATCATCTATATAATACTGTGATAAGGTACAATTTGGATTATAGATTAGAACAAAAAGGTAATAAGACCATTTGATCATTTTGACCATAAGAATTTATTTGGATTCCAAATTTATCTGGATTTGGTCTTATTACCTTGTTTGTCTATAATACCTTTCTTTTGATGGCATCAAGTGGTTAGATTAAGTCTCTCAACTATCCTGACACAATTATAACTTTAATCTTAAAATCAAAAATTAGATTGCTTCAAAAAAATCTTTAACATTTACTGAAATTTAAAATTAAATAAAACTCTTGCCTTTTTATCATGTTCCTTATTTGCATTTAGAATTAAAATATCTCGGGTCTACATGGAGAAGGCCTAAAAAATATTTTCAGAAAATTAAAGAAGGAAGTGAAAATTTTTGTTTAAAATTAAATATATAAGCAATATTTAAACTACTGATAATATAAATAGCTTTGAAATTCATCAAGAAATTTTTCAAATATACTTGATCACTTCATATTCTTAGGATTCAAGATTGACAAGATGTAAGGATGCTTATAGGAAGTAACAAGAATAATAGCTGGCAAAGTCAGACTTTCACCAAAGTGTGCCTGGATCATGTCACCATGATCAATAAAAGCTGCACCCCTACACCCCATTCTATGAGAACAACTCATGGAATTTGTGTAATGTTTGCACAAGGGGATAAGAAACAACAACAGAATAATAGCACTAGGAACACAAGGTAATAAGACCAAATCCAAATAAATAAATACCTTGTGTTTATAATCTATGATCCAAATATTGTGCCTTATCAATAGCACTAGGAAGGAAGGAAGGCAATGGTGAAATTAGATAAGATTTTAAAAGATAAAGTATTTTTTTGTCACACACCTATGAATGTGAGAGATAGACTCTTAAAAAAGAAAAATAATTGAAGCTATCGAAATGTGTATATAGAGAAGGCTACTCAGAGTGCCATGGATAGATAAAAGAGCAAATATTCTAATCTTAAATGAAATTAATCCTGTCAAATTTCCCTAGAATCCCAAATAGGCAAACAAAGATCAACATAAACACAAGGTAATAATACCAAATCCAAATAAATAAATAGTGTGTGATGTTTCGGCAACAATGCTGTTACCGAAACATCACACACTATTTATATATTTGGATTTGGTATTATTACCTTGTGTTTATAATCTACTAGACGGGTGACCCAGGCTTCGCCCCGGGATTGACCCGTGTGCATATCTACCCGAGTGATATATATTTAGATAAGATATTTTAAAAATAATTGTTTGTTATTAGCATTATCTATTGTTTGCATCAGCATAATGTATGTATACATAAAGTATGTGTATATATATACACCTTAATAGTACAAAAGCTACATACCTATACTTTCGATATTTGCGGACCTATAATGAGGTATTGTTAACAATAGATTATTTAAGGAGCGACCCGCTCCAACACAATAGTTACAAAAACAACAAAGCGAGTGGGGGGGGGGGGCAAAGGTGGCGTGATCGTAGCCAACCAATAGGAGTGCGCCATTCCAAAAAAAAAAGCAAACGGTGACAGAGATGAAAAAGAATTGATGACGCTCGTAACTGTATAAAGAATAATCCAAATTGTGCCTTATCAAAGATTAACCTAAAAATCAAATGTGCCCGGCTAGCTCAGTCGGTAAAGTATGAAATTTTTAATCTCAGGGTCGTGGGTTCAAGCCCCATGTTAGGCGTTTTAAAGACTAACATACTTTGGATACATAATGAGAGCTAATGGATTAGAAAATATGGTAATGTTGGATAAATTGAAGAAAGGGAGAAAGACCTGTAATGAACTGGCTGGTAATGGAAGTTACCATAAGATCGCTGATATAAGCTGCAAATGATGGTTAACAACAGATCAAATTGGAGAATATTTGTCCATAGTATCACCAGGAGTTGAAATCAACTAGATGGAGATTAACAATATCAACAATCAAGGTCTAAGGAAAGGATACTCACCAATTTATGCCTTTAAAAGAAACATATTGTAGATGGTTTAGCATTTTGTCTCAACTCTCATTACATAGAAGTCCCTAAATACCCCTAGTTCTACTTAGCAGATGTGAGGGGAATTCCTCCTACCTGTTCCCATGAAAGTAGAGGTCAAATTCACTGTTCATAATTCATATATTTTGATATTTTATCCTGTGTGTTTTTATAATTAATCTTTAAATTGTCATAAACCCCCAGAACTAAAATATTACATCTCATATTTGCTGTGGCAATTTTAGCTTTATATAGAGGTTTAAAAACAATATGTAAATTTTCTATGAGAAGAGTTATTACAATTTGGATTATAGGTTTAAAAGGCAACAAAGGCATATTATAAATAACTAAACAATTTTTTTGTGACCAATATACATACCAATTATATGATATTTTAACCTATATAATAAATCTTATAATTAATAGGCTAATCCCTTATTGATTTGAACATAATAAATCTTAATTAGAATATTTTATTATCTATAAGTATATATAAATACTGTAAATAAATAATGGGGATCTTAATGACCCCCCCCTATTGATTAAGTAGTAACATGATGGGGGTGCAAGAAGAAAGTGAAACCAACTTAAACTTCCTTCATAACAGCCAAACAAGGTTAGGAAACTTCAAAGGATATGCCAATCGGAAAATCTAAGTTGAAAAAGACTATATTATTGGAGGTATGGAACATAACTTTCATGACAGACCAAAAACAGGCTGGTCTCAGTTGAAGCTGACAGGTTATGTCCGGAAAAGTCTTTTTAACTTCAGAGATTACTTGTTAGATGCTTCAATAATGGGAGGTTTGTTCTACCTAAAGTGTAATGTTGAATTAAAAGATTAGTTAGTTTATATTCTGGTCATCTTTTATACATTAAGTAAGAAGTGGTTACATATACTGTGCACTATAGCACTTACTTCTAAAAGAATGGGGTGACTCAGACGTAAGTTTTTCCAGGGACACAGATATCCACAGCTCTAGTACCTCCTCAGATGAGTTGATGGAGGTCACAGCCCCCATGTCCTGTGTGGCGGCTGTGGATGGAGAGCTGGCAGGAGTGATGGCCCAGCTCGCCAGCGATGCCTACATCCAGATTGGAGACCCAGATGGAGTGTATGCCTGGCCCCAGACTGGAGGCTTCCTGGAGCAGCACCTCAGTCAGGAGAGAAACTTCCACCGCCTACTTGCCCATTGGGACCTGGATGGAAACTTCTCCCCCATTCTCCAGGTAGGCCATCTAGGAAAGATAAGTTTCTGGTAGAAGAGAAAATTGCCATAAAGTATAAAATAAGAATGTAAACAATAGCAATGTGTTTCTTTATTCGTGTAATGTGCAAGCTTTCAGATCTTTATAATCCTTCCTCAGACATAGCTATAAGTTGAAAGAATGAGGATATACATCCTTGATATATATCCATTCTCCTAAAGCTATGCCTGTGGAAGGATTATAAATGAATTTAGAGAGAGGAGCAGAATTCATTGTGTGTGTGTGTGTGTGTGTGTGTGGAGTATTTAGATGCCTGTTGATGGGACATCTGATGTAGGTGGGAATGTTAACATTTAGCTGGACATAGTGGGACAGCCTTCATGTCTTGGGTACCAGGATTTCAGAACTCCAGACATACTTCACCTGTCCCGTCCAGAGTCACACCCCCCGCCACTTTGAGGCAGTTAACAGGTCTTGGGGAGGGAAAAAATTGGAGAGAATTTGGTTTAACCATGGAGATAACCACCACCAGGATTATAAAGATCTGAAAGCTTGCACATTGCTTGAATAAAGAAATGCATTGCTACTGTTTCTATTCTTATTTTATAAGTTTCTGGCCCGGGACAGATGCATGTGGTTGAATGTGGAATATATATGTTTTTAGTGGGATGGTTGCGTGCGTGTTGGTGTGGCTTGTGGAAAGGCCGCTGATAAAATTATAATTATTTTTTATCATTTAAATTAATTTATTTAAAGCCAGAAATATATAAAGAGAAAAGAAGTAATGGTCGTTGGGAGCAAGCCTTTTTGTTGACGATGCGCGTGGCCAGAAAAGTCCTGGATGACGCCCGCGCATGCGTAGTGAGGTCGCCACTCTATCGCCCGTATGTGTTTTGAAGCTTTGTCCCAGTTCGCGCTCGCTGAAGCAAAGTGTGGTCGCCACATGTTTATTTATTGGTATTTGTAGGTTTATTCAGCTACTACTCTAGAGTAGATGTAATAATGTTCAATCCAGATTTGTCTCAATTTGATGAAGAAAATCTCACCTTAAATACATTTATTAAAATTAGCAACTTTTCAACAAATGGTTTCCCTGATTTTGCATTTGATTAAACAATTCTTATTTAAAATACTGTTTATCTACACATTATTAACCAATAGTGATATTAATATGATTCATAATATCTCATATTATTTACACCTTTACAGTTCTTCTTTATTTCATGTTTATACTTTCAATTATCAGAATGGAAGATGAAGCCAAACTAGATAATACCTTAGGCTTCAATTGTGTTTTCTCAATTAGGTGGTAATTTTCTAGATTTACTTAGAACTTTTTAGGAGGTCAGTGGAAGGGTGGTCTAAACCGCTACGACCAGGGATCGAATCCCGCATTGGGCACTTTTTTTCTAAATTAAAAAAAAATGCTCCAATAGCCCCCAATTCTTTCAAAAGTCCAACCACACCAGCGATTGCAAGTAACTAAATAGGGCTCTGGCACATTTGTAAGTGCAAAGTCGAACTGCTTTTCACATGTGTAAACATATGGTGCACTTTACAGTAAAAGCAGTCGCTAACTACCCACTATGATTATCATACTAGGGTGTACTAGGGATAATAAAAATAAATTAGATTGTTGGTGTGTAGATCGCATGATTTAGGGAATGAGTGATGTTACAGTCCGCCCTGAAATGTGGCTACCTGAACCTGGTGGAGTCCTACATCCAGCATGAGTCCAGGAGCTCCGTGCCATCTCAGCACACAGAGTACCAGGCGGAGTGTCTCTGGCGGCTCGGGCAATGGGACCACACTCTCATATCTGATGGGTAAGTTCAACCTCAACCTTCACTAGAACTTGGTCTGAGTCAGTTGTGTTACCTCATTTCATCCAAACTCCATAGCTGTGTGTCTATAAGGAGGTTGGTTCAGATCATTTTACAACAGATACATACTCCTGCATTATCCTCCTAATCTAATGTAAATGGGATTACTTCCATGCTTTAAAGGTAAATAAGTCATTGCCTTTCATTGTTTAGAAGTTCATTTGTTGGTTGGAAGTTTGTTTGGAAATATATGGCTACATCAACCAGCTATTTAATTCCTGATGTTTCAGTGACTGGAATAAATAATTGGTTGATGTTCCTTTCATTGCTTACAATGATGCTACTACACAAACTAAATATTCTTTTTTATCATTCTCCTTTACCAGTGCTGCCACTGAACTGCCATAATAGTTTACTTATTCTGATTTGTTTTAGTGCTTTTTCACTTCTATATGAAATTTTTATATCCACATAGATTTCATATAGATTACATTCTCCTAAAATCTGCCTAAGATAGCCACAACCCTTTAATAAAGGTTCCACCTTATTTTATGGACACATATTGATTGATGTTATAGACTTCCTTAAGGCAATCACCATTCCTAACCTGAGCACCCTGGCTAGGTGGTTGACTACCATTACTTGAGAAATGGCCCAAGTATAGCATTGCTGTGACTACAGGTCGGAGGATGCCCCGAGGTTCCACCACTCTGTCTACAAGTGCATCACCAGCCTGAAGGCTTTGAACCAGCCTGACTTCCACTCCTCTCTCTCCCATGCCAGGTAGACTCTCCTTTCTACACATACCTCCCACTCACACTCCTTTTATTTAAACTATTTGAACAATACTTTAATATATTTCATGTGCAATATTTTATATATACCGTATAGCCTCTTTAATTCAACTGCTTTTTCAAATCCCAACCGACTATAATTTAACACTGACTTTAATTCGCCGTTTTGGAGTTGATTTAAAGAATTTGACTATATAAAACCTTGAAAAAAAAAAATTTGAAAACTAAAAAATCCTTACACTTGGATCTTAGTCTAAAGGCTGGGGGCAGCTCATACTAGCTTATTTGATTTCTTTTTCAAGAAGCATACATATTTGTATGTAAATTTCTGATTAATTTATTGAGGGTCAACAATAAATAAAAGACAAAAAATAGATATAATTAAATTTTGTACTTTAAAGTGATAAATAGATATATCAGAGTAATACAGTAGAACTACCTCCCTGTAAAGGTCAACATCTAATTGTAGAGCCAAAGTATCCTTTAGGGAGAGGTGTTCTCTTACTGGAGAGTTGCTAAATAGTAAAAATGGTAATTTTGCAAATGAAAACTGTCCTTTATAGAGAGGTATCTGCTAAAGGGAGGTTCTACTGTAATACATAAAATGTCCTGATTGTAAAACTGAATGCTATTTATAGCTTACTGCCATCTATCAGTAAATACCTCAATTAAACGTTGATTAGTTTTACTACTGTGCTCAAACTACTTTCTTAAATTAACAAGAAAATTCAACAACCTCTATGTCTTGTGGCCTCATCAGTGAGGTGTAAGCTGTATAACTTAGCAATATATTGTACATGAATAAGTTAAATCAGGCTTAAAAGGTATCTTATAAAAAAGATGAGGATAGTTGATATTTATTATTCACTCACATTATTT